TGAACAATGCTTCAGGAGATGATACCGTTTGTACGTAAAATTATAACCATCAAAACATGATCCGATGCTGAAGTGTATTAACCAACGTACAAATCCGCAAGATTCGACTTAGTGACTTATTTTGCCATTCCATGCAACTAATCAGTCAGCGAACATATGACATATTTCTTTACTTTTGTTGTGTACGATTTACTGTAATGTTTATTTTTGCTACTCGATAAAGGTTCAGTACTCAGTACATTCCAAAGATCTCTTTTCGGGTGAAGAATCCTTGTTGTGAAGGCTGCTGCCTCTCCGTTTTTCCTGAGGTACATTTTTCCACGCTGCATTAGATATGGACGATTTAACAGTTTATTTATTTACGTAATCAACATGTACATCGATTTTATGAAAAACAAAGTATACAGCATTATTGTACACTAACCGATATACATAAACGTGTACTGTTGATGAGTACTGTAAAGTATGCTCTTACTCCTGCAAACTACATACGCTGTATCGATCGGACGCGGTTGAGGAAGTCCTGAGCAGTTTTGTCGTTGGGTCGCGCCTCGAGGACCGTGAGTTCGTTGGCGGCTACAAATCAGATGAAATCGATTACTGTAGAACTTACTATTTTACTCAGGGACGTCCGCCTGTCCGTTGTACCTTTGGTGCGGTTCGGGCGCAGAGGCAGCAGAACCTGCTGCAGCGTGTGCGACTGCTTCACGGCTTTCTTGTTGATAAGTTGAGACAGGCTGAGGAACGTCTCCCCGGCAAAATCGTCCGACAGAATGAAGTCATAATCCATCACGATCAAATGCAGCCACGCGTCGTCGGGTACGTCGTCAGGCAGCGTGCTAAGATGAATGGTGTCATTGACGGAAATATGAACGAATCAGTGAATGAATGGCTGGATGTTACAATTGAAATGTTTCGTCGAAAATCGGATTCAACGACTTCATGACGGTCTTGGTTTTGTACAACGAACTGCAGGGAAAGGCGAACGACGGAACAAGCTCTACGATGACGTACGGGTCGCACAGACCGTTTTTGTCCAGCGGAGTCAGCTTCTCGGCTCCGATCACTGAAACGGTCCATTGTACACAAATGATCAGCCGAAGCAAAGCGCTGAAACCTACCTTTGACCGTCAAGGATCTTTGGTCATAGCTCCAAGAGACAGATATTTTCAGCACGCCGTGCTTAAAGTCCGTCTTCTAAACAGAAACGCTCGATTTTGCATTCATACTGCAATTTAGTACATCAATATGCGTGACGCTCTTCGTTAACACAGATGTTTATGAAATTTTCGAGGGCACATCTTTATGTGCCTGAAGACGATGGTGTCTGTATTCATGTCGATCTTCATGCCGATGCTTACCTGTCATAATGAGTCACGGGTCATAAATAAAATCTGAGATTTAGGGTATAACCGACTGAAATACTCTGAACTACCTGAGACGAATCACTCGGTCCAACCGCTCGCCTCGGCAAAGTTTGAGGTTCAGATATGCGCAGAAGCCTTGGTCAACAGTCGCTGCTTGTTGAGATTGAGAAATCACAGCTGCAATGACTTTGACACGTATGGCGAATGCTTCCAAAGGAAGGTGAAATGGCTACTACTTGCTCAATCGACCGTCTGGAGAAGCTAAACCGGGGACAGGCTCGACATGGGTCCCGATTCGGGATATGTTCCACCAAAGCTCAAACGCGGCACAGGATCGAGAACGTTGGAAGCACTCGCTGAAACGTCTGCCTTCGTTACCCAAAAGGATATGCGGTCATCGAAACTAATGATTGACTGAGTTTCGTTGTGTAAATCACGTGTTGCGAAATGATGTCACTATTATCAGAGCAGTTTGAAAAAAAAACTTTATGTGCCTTAGTACTCAAATTCTCTAATCACCGGATTTAACGCTGTATTTCT